TTGGTTAGGTTTATTCCTAGGTACTTTATTCTTTTTGATGCAATTGTGAATGAAATTGTTTCCCTGATTTCTCTTTCTATTGGTTCATTGTTAGTGTATAGGAAAGCCACAGATTTCTGTGTGTGAATTTTGTATCCTGCAAGTTTGCTGAATTCCGATATTAGTTCTAGTAGTTTTGGAGTGTAGTCTTTAAGGTTTTTTATGTACAGTATCATGTCATCTGCAAATAGTGACAGCTTAACTTCTTCTTTACCAATTTGAATTGGTTGTATTTCTTTGTTTTGTCTAATTGTCATGGCTAGGACCTCCAGTACTATGTTGTATAACAGTGGGGAGAGTGGGCATCCCTATCTTGTTCCCGATCTCAGAGGAAAAGCTTTCAGCTTTTTACTGTTCAGTATGATGTTGGCTGTGGGCTTATCATATATGGTCTTTATTATGTTGAGGTACTTTCCATGTATACCCATTTTGCTGAGAGTTTTTATCATGAATGGATGTTGAATTTTGTTGAATGCTTTTTCAGCATCTATGGAGATGATCATGTATTTTTTGTCTTTCTTTTTGTTTATGTGTTGGATGATGTTGATGGATTTTCGAATGTTGTACTATCCTTGCATCTCTGGGATGAATCCCACTTGGTCATGGTGTATGATCCTCTTGATGTATTTTTGAATTTGGTTTGCTAATATTTTGTTTGATATTTTTGCATCTAACGTTCATCAGGGATATTGGCCTGTAATTTTCTTTTTTGGTGGGGTCTTTGCCTGGTTTTGGTATTAGGGTAATGTTGGCTTCATAGAATGAGTTTGGGAGTATTCCCTCCTCTTCTATTTTTTGGAAAACTTTAAGGAGAATGGGTATTATGTCTTTTCTGTATGTCTGATAAAATTCCAAGGTAAATCCATCTGGCCTGGGGGTTTTGTTCCTGGGTAGTTTTTGATTACCGTTTCAATTTCTTTGCTGGTAATTGGTTTGTTTAGATTTTGTGTTTCTTCCTTGGTCAGTCTTGGGAGGTTGTATTTTTCTAAGCAGTTGTCCATTTCTTCTAGGTTTTCCAGCTTGTTAGCATATAGGTTTCAATAGTATTCTCTAATAATTCTTTGTAATTCTATGGGGTCCGTTGTGATGTTTCCTTTCTTGTTTCTGATTCTGTTTATGTGTGTTGATTCTCTCTTTCTCTTAATAAGTCTGTCTAGAGGCTTATCTTTTGTTTATTTTCTCAAATAACCAGCTCTTGATTTCATTCATTTTTTTTCTATTGTTTTATTCTTCTCAATTTTATTTATTTCTTCTCTGGTCTTTATTATGTCCCTCCTTCTGCTGACCTTAGGCCTCATTTGTTCTTCTTTTTCCAGTTTCAATAATTGTGATGTTAGACTATTCATTTGGGATTGTTCTTCCTTCTTTAAGTATGCCTGGATTGCTATATACTTTCCTCTTAAGACTGTTTTCACTGTGTCCCACAGAAGTTGGGGCTTTGTGTTCTTGTTGTCCTTTGTTTCCATATATTGCTGGATCTCCATTTTAATTTGGTCGTTGATCCATTGATTATTTAGGAGCATGTTGTTAAGCCTCCATGTGTTTGTGAGCCTTTTTGCTTTCTTTGTACAATTTATATCTAGTTTTATACTTTTGTGGTCGAAAAATTAGTTGGTAGGATTTCAATCTTTTGGAATTTACTGAGGCTCTTTTTGTGGCCTAGTTTGTGGTCTATTCTGGAAAATGTTCCATGTGCACTTGAGAAGAATGTGTATCCTGTTGCTTTTGGATGTAGGGCTCTATAGATGTCTATTAGGTACATCTGTTCTAGTGTGTTGTTCAATGCTTCTGTGTCCTTACTTATTTTCTCTCTGGTGGATCTGTCCTTTAGAGTGAGTGGTTTGTTGAAGTCTCCTAAAATGAATGCATTGCATTCTATTTCCTCCTTTAGTTCTGTTAGTATTTTTTTCACATATGCTGGTGCTCCTGTGTTGGGTGCATATATATTTAGAATGGTTATATCCTCTTGTTGGACTGAGCCCTTTATCATTATGTAATGTCCTTCTTTACCTCTTGTTACTTTCTTCGTTTTGAAGTCTATTTTGTCTGACACTAGTACTGCAACACCTGCTTTTTTCTCCCTGTTGTTTGCATGAAATATCTTTTTCCATCCCTTGACTTTTAGTCTGTGCATGTCTTTGGGTTTGAGGTGGGTCTCTTGTAAGCAGGATATAGATGGGTCTTGCTTTTTTATCCATTCTATTACTCTGTGTCTTTTGATTGGTACATTCAGTCTGTTTACATTTAGGGTATTATTGAAAGATATGTACTTACTGCGATTGCAGGCTTTAGTTTCGTGGTTACCAAAGGTTCAGGGTTAGCTTCTTCAGTATCTTACTGCCTAACTTAAATCGCTAATTGAGCTATTATGATCACTGGTGATTCTTTATTTCTCTTCCTTCTTACTCCTCCTCCTCCATTCTTTATATGTTGAGTGTTTTATTCTGTGCTGTTTTGTGTTTCCTTTAACTGCTTTGTGGGTAGTTGATTTTATTTTTTGCCTTTAGTTAGTATTTGGTTGGTTTGCTTTCTGTGCTCTGATTTTATTTTCTCTGGTGACATCTGTTTAGTCTTAGGAGTGCTCCCGTCTAGAACAGTCCCTCTAAAATACCCTGTAGAGGTGGTTTGTGGGAGGCAAATTCCTGCAACTTTTGTTTGTCTGGGAATTGTTTAATCCCTCCTTCATATTTAAATGATTATTGTGCTGTATACAGTATTCTTGGTTCAAGGCCCTTCTGTTTCATTGTGTTAAATATATCATGCCATTCTCTTCTGGCCTGTAAGTTTTATGTTGAGAAGTCTGATGATAGCCTGATGGGTTTTCCTTTGTAGGTGACCTTTTTCCTCTCTCTAGCTTCCTTTAAAACTCTCTCCTTGTCCTTGATCTTTGCCATTTTAATTATTATGTGTCTTGGTGTTGTCCTCCGTGGGTCCCTTCTGTTGGGAGTTCTGTATACTTCCGTGGTCTGAACGATTATTTCCTCCCCCAGTTTGGGGAAGTTTTCAGCAATTATTTCTTCAAATACACTTTCTATTCCTTTTTCTCTCTCTTCTTCTGGTACCCCTATAATGCGAATATTGTTCCGTTTTGATTGGTCACACAGTTCTCTTAATATTGATTCATTCCTGGAGATCCTTTTATCTCTTTCTGTGTCAGCTTCTATGCATTCCTGTTCTCTGGTTTCTATTCCATCAATGGCCTCTTGCATCTTATCCATTCTGCTTATAAATCCTTCCAGAGATTGTTTCATTTCTGTAATCTCCTTCCGTACATCATCCCTTAGCTCTTGCATATTTCTCTGCAGATCCATCAGCATGGTTATGACCTTTGTTTTGAATTCTTTTTCAGGGAGATTGGTTAGGTCTATCCCCCCAGATTCCTTGTCAGGGGAGGATGTCTGGCTTAGTCTGGTCTGTATCAAATTCTTTTGCCTTTTCATGGCAATAGAGGTATTTGTGGGGAGCTGGCACGTGTGTTGGCTGGGAGAACGTCCCTTCTTGCTGGTTTGTGGCCTTCCTCTCCTTGGAGAACAGCGACCCCTAGTGGCTTGTGGTGGGTAGCTGCGTGCCGACGGGGTTTCTAATTCTTGCCTGGCGGCTGTGAAAGAAGCTCTGCCCTACTGCCTCAGGCTGCTTCTCCACTATGGCAGAGCCGCATCGGAGGGGAAACAGGCGGGAGGCTGTTCATCTCCTTGAGGGCCCTCCAACCTGCGCTGCCGCCCAGGGGATTAGGGCACTTGGAGTTCCCTGGGATTCCCAGACGCTGGGCTAAGTGTCCGGGACGTTTCCATCCAGCTGTGGGGTCCCTGTGCCTTTAAGACTTTCAAAAAGCACTGGCTTTTCTTTGTCCCAGGGCACTGACTGCGGGGACCTGCTCACAGGTCTTACTGTCCTGTTTCCCTACTTTCCAGCACCCCACACATGCGCTGTGTGTCTGCGCTCCAGTGTGGATGGCTAGGGCTGGGTGTTTAGCAGTCCTGGGCTCCTTCTCCTTCCCAGCTCCAACTCCTCTCCTCCCGCCGGGAGCTGGGGTGAGGGGCGCTCGGGTCCCGCTGGGCCGGGGCTTGTATCTTACCCCCTTCGCAAGGTGCTGGGTTCTCATAGGTGTAGATGTAGTCTGGCTGTTGTCCTGTATCTTCTGGTCTCTCTTTTAGGTATAGTTGTATTTGTTGTATTTTCAAAAATATATATGGTTTTGGGAGGAGATTTCCGCTGCTCTACTCACACCACCATCTTGGCTCCACCCATTATGTGTTTTTTTACCAGAATTTTTTAAAAAGGTCAAGGTACTCACCATAAGCTCAAGAGTTTATTATAAAGCCAAAATCCAAAATACAAAAATGATGAAAAAGAATGATATGCAGTTTTTGAAGGTGAACTTCATGATTTGTTTTTAGTATTTTAAATTCTTTCCAGTTTCTGAGCAGACTCAGGATTTCATAATCCATTCCTTAGCTGAAGATTTTTGCCTTTCTGCATCCTTTACAAACAGTGAACTCTTAGCGAATGGCTGAAGCCTTGTAACCACTGCAAATAACAAATATTTTGAGTCTGATTATTGTTTATACTTTAAAAAAAACCTCACGTTTTCTGGCAGTCTAGATGTGGGTGTTTGTTGTTGTTGTTTGCCATTATTGAGCGCATTTTCTGATTGTAAAGTCAAATCTCTTCTTGTATCCTAAGAAGTTAGGTAATCAAACCAAATCTGAATTTCACTGAATAAAATCTTGCTTCTACTTTACTTTCATATGCTGCTGAAACTTTTTTTCTTCTTGCTGAGTTCTGGAAAGAATTCTATTTTTTGAGATATAATTGACATGATTTTGTATTAGTTTAAGGCATACATGAAATTTGTCATCTTGACTTCTAATGTGTTGATACTCTTAGTTTGATAACCATGGGAAATGATACCACTGACCCCCAGATAACCATGTGACACCTCTGTTGCCTGTCCGGTCCAGGTTCCTTGTGGAGCAACACTGGTACAAACAGTGGGAATTACACGTGCAGGGAAGAGACCAGGATTCCAGAACCTTCCCTGGCTACATCAACAATGCTGAGTTCTTTGAAGGTACCAGGCTTCTGCCTCCCACATCAGCTTAGCCCTGGAGTTCTTGTCCCCTCTGTCCCTACAAATGGTCCTAAGCCCCTTCTCTGTGCTAGGTCACTGGTGAAATGACCACCAGAGTGACTCATCAGTTTCCTTCCCTGAATCTTCCTCTGCCACCTCCCCCTGCCTCTGCACAGACCAAGTAAACTGGCACCTGAAGAAGGGATTGTTGGAAGGGGAAGACTATGTGCTGCTCCCAGCGGCTGCTTGGCATCACCTGGTCAACTGGTATGGTCTAGAGCATGGCCAGCCACCCATCGAACACAAGGTATACTAGGTGGGGCAGGTGCTGGGGAGTAGATTCTGTGGGGAGTGAGATAGGACAGAATCCTTGTAGGCCCAGGATGGGTCCAGTATCGTGTGGACATGTGTCTTCCACATAAGCTGGATAGAGGCACCTGTGTCTGCACTCCTCTGTCCTCGTTGCATTGGTATCTCAGGGTGTTCTTGTGTGTGTTCACCTGTGTATATGCTCCTCTTATCTCAGAGGTAGTTGCGCCTGCCTCTGCGTGTGTATTCCATGGGGGTACACCTGTGTACCTGCCCTTCCTCCCTCCCAGGTTGTGGAGCTGCACAGCATCTGGAAGGTTGACGTGTACCCAGTAGAGCTGCTGCTTGTCAAGCACAGTGATATGGACACACCTCACACTGCTCAATTCAGCCACACAGATTCTGTTGGTGAGTCTAAGGGTCACAGAATAAGTTGGCATTACCAGCTGTTGGTCCCAGCTTAGTGACCTAAGAATGCATGGAGTTCAGCTGTGGCAGACTGAGAAGGCATTGGTCAGACTTAGGAGGACCAAGGAGGTATTGGTCAAGTTGGACAGAGGCCCTGAGGGGTCCCCTAGAGTCCTGAGTATGTGAGCTACAGTATAGTGGCTTAGATGTTGTAGCAAAGGGTATTTGCTGGGGGTCTCAAGTCCTGAGTATAGACCAGTCAGCTGGGACACAGGGTATTGGCAAGGTGTACACAGTCTGTGCAATGAGTCAGGAGTCTGATGGGAAAATGGGTTCATCATTCTGGGTCCCAAATGCTCCATCACCCTCCACAGACCTAGTTTTGTGTACCGCTCAAGAGCAGTTTCTGGTGAGCCCCCAGGAAGAGACCCGGCTGTGGATTAAGAACGCAGAGGGCTTTTTCGAGAGGTTGTGCAACACACACATCACAGTGCTTGACGCCGCCCTCAAGTCTGGGCAGGTGAGGGTGGCAAGGGCTTTTCTGCTCCCCAGCTGTGCTCAGATGGGGGGAAGTAAGGAGTGGGAGCTCAATGCCCACAGGCCCTCCGTGAACACCTTTCTTGCTTTTTCTTTCTCTTTCTCTAACCCAGCTGGTCATCATGGAGACCCAAAACAGGGATGGCACTTGGACAGGTGCCCAGCCACAAGCCATGTAAGCCCTGGGGTTGTCTGGTCCAGAGTGAGCAGAATAGCTGATGCCATAAGCACATTTCACCCTCATGCAATAGACCCCCCAGCCACTAAGAGTTTCTCATCTACCCCAGGAATAGCGCATCGGAGGAAGATCAGGAATTCCATGGCCAGCCAGGCATCTGTGGTCTCACTAACCTGGGCAACACGTGCTTCATGAACTCGGCCCTGCAGGTTGAGCCATTAGGCTGTGTCTGGCACAGCTGCAGGGGTGGGCTTCAAGTGGTGGGGGTTGGGGGACAGAGCTGGGGGTACAAGGGGTCAGGTTGGAAGCTAGGGCCCCGTAAGTCCAGCTCGACATACCCATGGTCCTCACTGGAGCATAAATACCTTCTCCCTCTGCTTGCCCCCTGCTTTCCTTTTCCTCTCCTTTGTCACCACGTTCTTCCTTCTCCTAAAATGCTGCTGTCTTCTCTCCTCCATCACCCACCCCTTCTCTCTGTCCCCACCTTGGTCATCTCTCTCTCCTCTTCTGTGCCTCATTCACCCCGGCCCTGCTCCGTGCAGTGCCTCAGCAACGTGCCACAGCTCACCGAGTACTTCCTCAAAAACTGCTACCTGGAGGAGCTCAACTTCTGCAACCCACTGGGCATGAAGGGGGAGATTGCAGAGGCCTATGCAGACCTGGTGAAGCAGGCATGGTCCGGCCGCCACCGCTCCATCGTGCCCAATGTGTTCAAGGTGGGACTCAGCTCTGGGCTGCCCCCTACCCACCCCTTCTGGACTCTCGTAGCTCCTCCTCTCTCTGACGGCCCTGCCCATCTTCTCAGACCAAGGTCGGCCACTTTGCATCCCAGTTCCTGGGCTATCAGCAGCATGACTCACAGGAGCTGTTGTCATTCCTCCTGGATGGACTGCATGAGGACCTCAATCGTATCAAGAAGAAGGAATATGTGGAGCTGTGTGATGCTGCTGGGAGGCCAGATCAGGTAGGCACTCCTGAAAGACCCATTCCGAGAGCCCCAGTAGAGCCACCAAGGCCTCTGCTCAGGGGTTCTCTGGCCTCCCTGGGATATCTCACACTGCACCTGACCTCAGCTCCAATCTCAGTCTCAACCTTGGCCCACACCCACACCCAACCCAGAGTTAACCCCCGCCCAGTCTCCTGCCCAAGAGAACCCTCAAGCCCGACAGTGAACAATGAACAGTCTCCAGATAGCCCTGGCTGTACTCTACAACTGGACTTTATCCTAACCTTCACTTTAACCCCATACCCATCCCATCCCAATCATGGTTTCTCCCTGCTCCGGGCAAGGCCCACCACCCACCATGGCACTGTCAACAGGAGGTCGCTCAGGAGGCCTGGCAGAACCACAAACGGCGGAACGATTCTGTGATTGTGGACACTTTCCACGGCCTCTTCAAGTCCACACTGGTGTGTCCCGACTGTGGCAACGTGTCTGTGACCTTTGACCCCTTCTGCTACCTCAGTGTCCCACTGCCTGTCAGCCACAAGAGGGTCATGGAGGTCTTCTTTGTCTCTATGGATCCCCGCCGCAAGCCAGAGCAGGTATAGAGGTAGTGGGGACATGGGAATTCAGTGAGGGACATGTAGCAGAGTTTGATTACAGGGCCATACCTCAAGGCTTCCTTCACTAAGCACATACCCTCTGCTCTTTGATGGATACTGTCTCTTCTTCAGCACCGGCTGGTCGTCCCCAAGAAAGGCAAGATCTCAGATCTGTGTGTGGCCCTGGCCAAGCACACTGGTGTCTCGCCAGAAAGGGTGAGGCCCTTCAGAGATGGAGGAAGGGTGGGATTCAGGGGCAAGGAGGCAGAGGGTCTGGGCAGACCTGGCACACTGACCAGCCCCGCCTTTGCATCCCATTCCCAGATGATGGTGGCCGATGTCTTCAGTCACCGCTTCTATAAGATCTACCAACTGGAGGAGTCTCTGAGTAGCATCTTGGACCGAGATGATATCTTCATGTGAGTGAGGGGACCTGTAAAAAAGGGGTTTCTTAGGAACCTCCTCTATTTAGCCACCTTCCCACTCCCCTCCTAAGCCTGATTCATGGGGCAACTGCCTTATGCAGGGCTTAGGCTCTGTGCCCCTTGGTTGTTTGCTTCCTTGTTAAGTGAGGGAGCCTCCTCTCTTTCTTCATGTTACTCAGCACTTACTGAGCACCTTCTGTGTACCAGACGCTGGTCTGCATCCCTCAACTCGTGTCACAGTCCTCAAACAGTGAACCTGATGTTTGGAATAGGGAACACTAAGATGCTTTCTGAACATAACAGCATTCAGAACAAACTTGAGATCTTTAGGTAATGAAAACAAAAGGTGCTTCATGAGTAGAAAAGTTCTTTGTAAACCAAACAATGTTTTCCAAAATCATTTTAAATCCCTTTGTTGCGAAAAACTTTTAATTAGCTCCCTCTGCTCTGATAATATCAAAGTACTTTATAAAACAACATATGAACAAAACACTGTGTAAATCACCTAACAATATGTAGAGCACAGAACCCTGAGTGTCTCTTTGAGCCCTTCTAAAAATACTTCCAAACAGTGAGTACCTGCAGCAGAGTCTGCATGGGTATCCTGATCAGACGTGACCTGATGTCCATCCCCCACAGATATGAGGTGTCAGGCAGAGCTGCTATTGGCGAAAATTCCCGAGAGGATGTTGTGCTTCCTATCTACCTGCGGGAGCGCACCCCGGCCCAGGACTATAACAGTTCCTACTACGGCCTGATGCTCTTTGGGCACCCGCTTCTGGTGTCAGTGCCCCGGGACCGGCTCTCCTGGGATGCCCTGTATCACATCCTACTGTACCGCCTCTCGTGAGTCTGCCTCTTGGGGGTCAAGGGTGGAATGTGTGGTCTGAACTCAGACCTGGGTGTCTAGCTGCTTAGTTGCTTCCTCCCTGCCACGTCCATAAGACAACTGCTCAAACTTAACAAGGCCCGAGAGGAACTTGTAGGTTGGCTTTTTTTTTCTTCTAAGCCTCTGGCTTCACCACAGCCTCTCCCAGGTGCTGGCCATACAGAGGTGAACAAAATGGGCAAAGTATGGACAATTTCATCTTGTACTTAATTGTCTCGTCCTCGGAGAGGCTTGGTTATTTGTATTTTTACCAATAGATTCTCATTGGGCTTAAAACCCAGAGTCCTTAACCAAGGCAGCCTCTCCCTCTCATACCTACAAGTCCATTCCTCAGAGGCCTTCCCTGATTGAAATTTACAGCTGACCGTGTATACTAGTAGTTTATCCATACTTAAGATCCACAGTCCTTCCTTTGGGTACACAAGATCCTACATTTTCAAGCCACCTCTTCCTGTGTTTCTGGGTCATCTCCTGAGACCTTCTGGGCTCACCTTTTACAGCTGTGGGTGTGGGTTTCCCAGTGGCTTCCATCGTAAGCCAGGTAGAATCCCGGGCTCTGCCCTCCCTGCCCTCGTGGCCCTCCTTGAGAATCTCCTCTGCTCTGTTGGCAGACGCTATGTGACCAGACCCAGCTCAGACGATGAGGACGATGGGGATGAGAAAGGTGAGGAAGAGGAAGGAGAGAGGACTGACGAGGATGAGGGTCCATACCAGCAGTACCATGGCCTGAGGGAGGGTCAGAGGCTGAGGGTTTTGGGGTAGGTCTGATCCACACAGGGTCCACCTGGATGTGCATTGCAGCTCAGTCCCCTGGGACTCAAACACCCATCTCTGACATCCTCCCCTGTCCTAGCAGACACAGAGGATAAGGACAACATCCCTAAGCCTGGACACATGGCTGGGAGCAGCTCCCAAGACTTTGGGATGGAGCAGGCTGGGCCCAGCTCTGGAGTGGCTGGGGGGCACCGGGCCCCCGTGGACAGCTCCCCTGGACCATCTCACTGGCCCCAGAGGGCATGGCGCAAGCAGCTGTTCACCCTGCAGACAGTGAATTCCAACGGGACTAGCGACCGCTCCACCTTCAACGAGGATACCCATGGTGTCTCCTTCAGCTGTGAGCCAGGGTTGGGGAGGCGGGAGGGGGGTTTCCTTGGCAGCAGGGCCCATGACCACCTCCCCTTGCCCCTAGCCCAGCCGTACATTGCCATTGACTGGGAGCCAGAGATGAAGAAACGTTACTATGACGAGGTGGAGGCTGAGGTAAATGAAAGCCCAGGGATGGTGGGCACTGTTAGCATGCACCCTTCAGCTTTTCACATGTTCCCTTGCTGCCCTGCTGTAGTTCCTCCAAGCTATGACTGCAGAGCCACCAGGGCCTCAGATTCTTGCTGCAAAGCCCGTGTCCTTAACCAGTCAGCGTGTGTCTTCATCCGCATTCCCTTGAGTCCACCCATCCTCACACCTGGCCATCCACTCCCCTACCCTAGGGCTACGTGAAGCATGACTGCGTCGGATATGTGCTGAAAAAGGCTCCAGTACGGCTGCAGGAGTGCATTGAGCTCTTCACCACTGTTGAGACCCTGGAGAAGGAAAACCCCTGGTAAGGGAGCAGAATTGGGCCTTTCTGGTAACCTGTCCAGGCCCCTGTTACCTTTAAATATCTCTCCCACCCCTGACTCAAACCCTTCCTGACACTCTGACCATCAACACCCCAGGCATATTTCCACCTTAGACCCTTTGCCTAGGCTGTTCCTTCTCCCATGAATGCCCTTCCAGTTATCGACAGGACTTGACTCCTTCATGTCACCCAGGTTTCTGATCAAATGTCATCTTATACGAGAAACCTCTTACCACCCTGTTGCCTCCATCCACTCCCTCCCCATGCTCTTTTCTTCCTGGCCGAGGATTACTTTTTTTCTAGCTCAGTAATACAATTGATGTCATATCCTGGATTCCCTTTTGCATCATTATTTTTCTTTTCCATTAGTGTAAACCCCTTGAAGGTGAGGACTTAAGTTCACTGTGGGTCTCTTCTCACTGATTGTAATGGTGTGGGGTGTGCATCAGATACTTAATAGATCCTTACAGCATAAACAAAACATTAAAGAGAGAACCAAAAAGATAAAGACGGTCTCAGAAATAAGAGCAGCATCTCCATGGAGTAGAAAGGGAACAGAAATATAAAATACCACTAAAGGATTCAACAATAGACAGTTGGGAAATACTTGGTGAGTGAAGTAGGAAGAGAGAAAATTAGAGGAACAGAGGCAGGCTCTAAAACAAGGCTAGTCTTATGGATAAGAAACCAAACAAAAATATACACTAGTATAAACATGGGTAAGTGCTTGGTGAACGAATGACAGGATTTTAACCTGTGAAGAGAGCAGACTATAAGAAACAGGTGGTCCAGAAGTAAAAGCAGCATGTCTGTGGAGCAGACGGTAGCCTGTGAAGGTCACGTAGTACAGAGCATGCTGCAGGTGCTCAGAGAGTGTCTGTGTGCTGACTCGGGCTCTGCTGTAGGTACTGCCCCACCTGTAAGAAGCACCAGCTGGCCACTAAGAAGCTGGACCTGTGGACGCTGCCTGAGACGCTCATCATTCACTTAAAGCGCTTCTCCTATACCAAGTTCTCCCGCGAGAAGCTGGACACCCTTGTGGAGTTTCCAATCCGGTCCAGGACTGGGGAGGCTGGTGGCGGGGAGATGGGGAATGGTGGAGGGGGGGTGGTGTGCACTGGGATTAACTCCCTCCTTGCCCACAGGGACTTGGACTTCTCTGAGTTTGTCATCAAGCCGCAGAATGAGTCAGCCCCAGAGCTGTACAAATATGATCTCATTGCAGTTTCCAACCATTATGGGGGCCTGCGTGATGGCCACTGTATGTGCGGGGCTCCGGGAGGGGATACCCTGGTGGGGGTGTGTCAGGATGTCCCCAGGGGTGGCTTGAAAAGGGAGGAGTGAGGGAGAGAACCCAGATACCTCTTAGGGGCAGGAGAGTGGGTGAGGACAGCTCCCCGTCTCTTCCAGACACAACATTTGCCTGCAACAAGGACAGTGGCCAATGGCACTACTTTGATGACAACAGCGTCTCACCTGTAACTGAGAATCAGCTTGAGGTGTGACTTACGACGTCCTCCCTTCTCCCCTTTGCTCCTCCTCCCGACCCCACCCCTGCCCCTGCCACCAATCCGTAACTGACTCCTGTCCTCTACCCACAGTCTAAGGCAGCCTATGTCCTCTTCTACCAACGCCAGGATGTGGCACGTCGCCTGCAGCCCCAGCCCACCTTATCTGAGCCCCCAGCATCCCCTGCTTGCAGTTCCGCACCGAGCCCTGAGTCCATGGATGTAAACTGAGGGGCCCCGACCCTGCACAGGGAAGGAAACCATCTCTGCTCTCTGCCTTCCTGTAGTCACCCCCATTCTCTTACCCATGTTAGGTTCCCTGCACCAGGCATTGTATGCTTAGTTGTGGCTACTGTTTTCCTGTGCCACTATATTGCTTCCCGGGGAGGAAGAGGTCGTGTCTCCTCCTGGCAGTATGTTCCCCACCTGTGTTTGCCCCTTAGTGCATTAACCTTCCCTTTTATTCTCTATTTGTGGTTGTCCCCTTTCCTCTGTCCTCAACCTGGGGTGTTCTGAGGGGGTGGTGGTGGGGTGCACCTGAACACAGAGTGTATTTTCTTACCGAGACCCTTGTGCCCTCTGCTGTGTATATATAAAGTGCCAGTGTGTTCCTTGGCAGTGTGAGTTATTTTTTCCATGTACCTATTAAGCATCAGTTTTATGATTGTGTGCTTCTCAAATGCTAGCTGTGTCATGGTTGCTGCTCTGGGTGCTTACTAAGCACCAGCTGTGTGCTAGGTGCCATTCTAAAGGCTTTTGAAGAACCATCTGTGCACCAGACATGATTCCTTACACCAGCTGCATGCCCAGTATTTTCCAGAGCATTTTACACGTGTTGACTTAATCTTCACAACATTCTCAGGCAAGAATTGTCTCCAGGTTCAGATAGGAAAACTGAGGTACAGAGGTCCAATGTTTGCTCAGGTTCTGTCAGGAGGGCAGCACACTTTGTCAATTACACTGGTGTTAGTTCCTAGAGGGGACATTTGACCTCTGGAGCCAAAACAAAAATCTTCCTGTGGACATGGCCTGTGCTACAGATGATGCTAAAGGGGCGCCTGGAACAGACAGGCCTACGTGTGGGCAAATGTGTGGTTTCTGGACATAAAGATACGAACCAGACCAGCTTACAGGCCCCAGTAGTGTCCTAGAAGCAGAACCGCAGTGGTAGGCCTGGCCCAAACCAACTTAACTGGCAGGACAAGTGTATGTTGTTCCTGTATGTAGCCCCCTGTTCCCATCCTACCATGACCCCAGCTCCCCCACCAGACGGGCCCTCCAGCGTCATCCCAGAGACTGAGGTGGTACTCCTGCCACAGAATGGGTACAGCATGGTGTGTCTGAGCATAAGGTGCCATTCAAGCACTGGCCATTGGTGTGACTCCTTCCATGGGTGCTAGCTATCACCTCAGAAATGGGGCTCCTGCGGAAGCAGCTGTGGAGTGGAGCAGTGTAGACAAGTGTGTGGTAACGACATAAGCCCCCCAACCCTTCACACTGACACAGAGGAAGGGGATCCTGACTAGTGGTGGATGAGGGGCCATTCCCACAGTGAGGGCCACAACCTTCCCCCGCCAGCTTGGGCCTTGGCCCTGGACCTGGCCAGACCCACTCTGAGGGCCATTTGGCTCAGCATTGCCACCCATAAACCTGCCAGTTGTGCTGCTGACACGGGCAAGCATCAAGGTAGCTCATGTGAGGACCCCCCCTTCAGACCTGACATAAGCAAGAATAACAAATACTAGCTTCAGGGATGACTGGATCCAGGAACTCCAAAAAGCTGTCATTTAATCCTCACAAAGACCATGTCATTGAAGCACTACTACCCATTTTTCAGGTGAGGAAGCAGGCATAAGGAGCTGGTTCAAAATGGGCTTTAAGTACAGGAAGACCTCATTACCGATGGGTAATCAGTCTTGGACCAAGTCCTAAAGTGAATCCGCTTAAAATAACTTCTCTGACTTAACCAGACATCTTGGAACAACAACATGCATAAGAATAGAGAAATAAGAGCAGACAGCTACCCAGAGATACCTCATACTACAATTCTGACAGCAGTGAAAAACAGTTACACTTACTCTGGTCATGAAGTAAAGATTACAAGTGAACAAGAAACTTTAAACTTCTATAAGTGAAAATGAGAAAGAACCAAGTAGAAGTGATGGACCTGAAATAGGTAATAAATTAAAATGGAAGAAGAAAGTGGATGAGTTGAACAACACAGACATAGCCAAGGAGAGAATTTGGAAGTTGGATATATGTTTGAGTGTACTAAGGAATGCATCTTCTAGGTTTTAAGTTAGACTAACACTCTGTTTTGATATATTACAGGTATCTAAAGAATAGGAAAAGTACAAATTTCAAACAAATGGAGGGAAATAGAATAATAAACCCAGAAGAAAGCAAGAAGAAAGTAACAGAAAAGGTAGGTAGACAGGCAGCACATATACAATCACTTGCAAATAAAATTGGCTCTGTCCCCTCTGATTCCAGGTAGGAAAACTGGGGACCAGGCTGCCTGCTGCATAGACACCACAACCACCTTGGCACCAGGGAGAGGTGGGCTAAGGGCAAGTAAGAATAACACAAAACTTTCCTATGACTTTGGAGATGGCTTTTCTTGATTGGACACTTGTTCTGTTGCTGTTAACCTCTGGCTGCTCTCAGGGGTCTGACACACTTTGTTGTGACAGTCCGGCTTGTTTCTGGTTTTGTTTTGATGTTCTGTTGGGGAACGAGTGCTTGGAGCCTCCTAGCCTGCCATCTTGCTGATGGCTCTCCCCTGGTGTATTATGTTTTTACATGTGGTTCTTAGCACACTTAGGTAGCATGTATAATTGGATCTTTTTTTGTAATATGACAATATCTGTGTTTTAATTGAGGTGCTTGGATCATTTAGTTAAGGGATTATTGATATATTTAGGTTTGAGTCTTTCATTTAGCTGTTTGTTTTCTATTTGGCCTATTCCCTCTCTTCCTTTTCCCTCTTTTTCTGCTTTATTTTGGATTAGGTATTATTTTATGATTCTACTTTCTCTCTTTTGTTGGCTTAGGACCTATAATTCTTGGTTTTATTCACTGATTGATTTAGGGTTTATAGTATGTATCATGAATTTATCAAAGTCTACCTTCCAGTGGTATATACCACTTTACATATAAGAACTTTGTATAGTGAGCTTCCATTTCTCCCTACTCAGCCTTTATGCTTTTGTTATTGTGCATTTTACTTGTACATGTTATAGACCCCAAAATACATTGCCATTTTTCTTTAAACAATTACTTTAAAGAGACATAAATAATAAGCAAAGGAATCATATATATTTACCCATTGTAGTTACCATTTCCAGTGCCCTTCCTGCCTTTGTGTAGGTCCTGATTTCCATCTGATACCATGTGCCTTCTGCTTGAAAGATTTCCTTTAACATTTTTTATAGTTCAGATTTCTTTTCTTATAGTTCAGGTCTTCTGGTGATGAATTCTGGTTTTGTATGTCTGAAAATGTCTTTATTTCACCTTATTTTTTGAAAGATATTTTCATGGGTACAGGATTCTAAATCAACAGTTTCTATTTCTTTCAGTATTTTAAAGACATTTGTTACTACACTGCCTTCTTGCTTGTACTGTTTCCAGTGAGAAATTCTTATTTTTGTGTCCGTGTACATAACATGTCCTTCTTTCTCTCTGGCTACTTTGAAAATTTTCTCTCTAGCACTGGTTGTGAGCAATTTGATTGTGATATGCCTTGGTTTAGTTCTTCATGTTTCTCAGTGCTTCTTGGATTTCTGGATTTCTAGTGTTCGTCATATTTGAGAAAATTTTAGCCAGTATTTCTTCAAATGTTATTTTCTGAAGCTCCCCTCTCTCCTTCTTCATGGACTCGAATTACTCATATGACTAGGCTGCTTAAAATTGTCTCACGGTTCACTGATACTCCTTCTTTAAAATTCTATATGTTGAATTTGCAACAGTTTCTGTTGCTGTGCTTTGAAGTTGACTAATATTTTCTTCTGCAATGTCTAATGTACTATTAATCCCATTTAGTGTACTTTCCAACCAGAATATTGTAGCTGTTCAATTTGGGTCTTTTCTGTAGCCTCAGTGTATCTGCTTAACCTCTTGAACATATGGCAAGCAGTCATACTAATCACTGTGTCAGTGTCCTTCTCTGCTAATTGTAACATCAGTGTCAGTTCTAAGTCAGTTTTGATTGACTGATTATTCTCCTTATTTGGGGTTATGTTTGCCTGCAAAGGCATTTCTGGTAGTAGTTGGTGGATCCTAGACATTGTGAGTTTCCCTTTACTGGCTGCTGGATATTTTTGTATTCCTTAAATCTCTTGGAGCTTTGTTCTGGCATGCATCTAATTTTCTTAGAAATGGTGTGCTCTTTTCAGGTCTTGCTTTTATGGTTTGTTAGCCAGTTCCAAAGAAGTGTTACTAGGGCTAATCATTCCCTACCACTAAGTCCTCCATTCAATGACCTATGGATTAGGAGTGTTTCCAGTCTTGCTAGTTGGATTAGCCACTGCTCCCCATCCTGTGTAAGGACCAGGCACTGATCCCTCTGACCCTTTCAGAGGCTCATTCCTCAGCCTTGGGCAGTTTCCTCAGACACATGCACTGATTGCCCCTCTGCTGATTGTTGAAGGAGGACCCTTTGCAGGTCTTTAGGCTCCCTTCTGCAGCTCGGTCCTTTCTGTTACTCTATCTGGACTCTAGCTGTCCTAGTCTCCATGGACTCTGGCTCTGTCTCCTTAAGTTGGGGGATCTGCCAGGCTTTGCCTGGGTTCCTGTCCCTGAGCTGTGACCTGGAGAATCCCCCTAGGCAGTAGCTGGGGGACTCATAAGGCTCATTGCACTTGTTTCCTGTCTCAGGGATGACTGTCCTTCATTTTCTAATGTCCATTGTTTTGAAAACTTGCTTCATGTATTTTTCCTGGTTCCATTATTGATTCTGTCAAGAAAGTAAGCCCTGTGCCTGTTGTTCCATCTTTCTTGGAAGCAGAAGGGCTTTCCCTCAACCTTATAAAATTTACCTAGCTAATCCTTTTTTCACTTCTTGGATGGAGGTTTAGCTCATTGATGATTCCAACTTTTTGCCTTGATCTATTTGTAATGTTAGGTACTAAAAACCAGAAATAATGGATTGTAAAAATCTCATATACACAGATTTATTACTTTTAACACTGTGTTAGATTCTTTAAATTCTTTAAATCTGAAAAAGGAATACATTTGTGAAATGCTTGCAGGTTTTCTGTGGCATCAGTCCTCATCTTGAAAAAATTTCTGCAACAATTGAACAGAAAGAGATATAAACATGGGTATCTATGTATATTTTTAAAACTTTCTTACAGTACCTTTTAGGATGTGTACATTCTTTCAGTGTAATAAGGAGATCGCTGAGAGAGCAGTCTGGAAATCAAAAGGAAATATGGAAGGCAGAAGAATGTGAGAAGGGGGAACACAAAAAGAGGGAAAATGAGTAGCACATGAATGAGGTTTATAGTTAAGAGTTTCCCCAGAATGGAGTGCACAGCTGATCATGGTCCACATGCATTCAGCAGCCACCCGGTGGAGCTGGTCCCTGCCTGTGTTAGCTACTCTATGAAATGATAAA